ACTAATATATATAGAAAATATTTAGCCTGGGCATGGTGGTGCATGCTTGGTAGTTCCCAGCTACTCGGGAGGGCTGAGGCAGTAGGGATCGCTTGAGCTCAGGAGTTTGAGGTTGCTGTGAGTAGGCTGACACCATGGCACTCCACTCTAGCCCCTCGGGCCAACAGATGAGTACTCTGTCCTCAAAAAAAAAAAAAAAAGTAAACCTGCTCTTAGCTCTTGGCCATACAAAAAAAAAAATAGGTGGTGGCCGGCGCTGTGCCTCACGCCCTGTAATCCTAGCTCTTGGGAGGCCCGAGGCGGGCGATGCTCAAGGTCAGGAGTTCGCAAACCAGCCTAGCAGAGCGAGGACCCCGTCTCTACCTATAAAATAGAAATAAATTAATGGCCAACTGATTATATATATAAAAAAATTAGCGGCATGGTGGTCGCATGCCTGTAGTCCCAGCTACCCGGGAGGGCTGAGGCAGAGGATCACTTCGAGCCCAGGAGTTTGAGGTTGCTGTGAGCTACGCTGATGCCAGGGCATCACTCTAGCCTGGCAACCAAAGCGGAGACTCTGTCTCAAAAAAAAAAAAAAAAAAAAAATAAAAAAAGGAACTATCACTGTCCAAAACGGGAAAAAAAAAAAAAAAAAAAAAATAGGTGGTGGGACAGATTTGGTTCATAGGCATAGTTTGCCAATACCTTACTGATTTTAGATATAAGAAAGCAGTGGAGTGAGGACTTCAGAAAATAACTGATATTTTTCTTGCCAGAGTCACTGGAAAGTTAATTATCATTTAGAGGAGTGGGAGGGCTGGGCATGGTAAGCTCATGCCTGTAATCCCAGCACTTTGGGAGGGACTGAGGTCAGTGGAGGGGATCATTTGAGGCCAGGTTTGAGACCAGTCTGGGCAACATAGCAAGAACCCATCTGTAAAAACCAACAAAAAATGAGCCAGGCATGGAAGGTGCCGCCTATAGTCCACTATTTGGGAGCTGAGATGGGAGGATCTCTTGTGTCAGGAGGTTTGAGGTTGCAGTTAGCTGATGATGCCACTGCTTTACTACTCAAGCCCCGGCAGCAGGTGAGATCCGGTCTCAAGAAAAAAAAAAGACGAGGCAGCAATTGTAGAAAAAGAATGATAAAGCCAATTTTTAGACATGTCACACATCTACACCCGTTGCTGCTACCCTCACACCACACACTAGTGGGGTCAGAACTGGTGCTCAAGGTGCACAATTGGGAAGCATCAAATTCATCTTGTGCAGAGGTGCTGGTTGACGCAGGAGAGGAGAAATCTCTTGGGTGAATGCTTCAGGAATAATAGCAGTGAGCCAAGGGCTAACCTGGGAGGAAATGTCATAGTTTGGGACAGGGAAGAGAGAGCTGGTTGAAGGGAGGACAGGGTATGTGGATCAGAAGAAGGATGATGGGCTTATTTGCTAGACCCTGATGGAGCCAGTATTTGTTAAGAACAATAGCTTGTTCTCATACCATCCTTTTTCCTGGGCCCCTTAATCGGATCTCACTTCTTTAAAAACCAGTGGATACTTGGGCAAATTTAAGACTTGGTCTAACTTAGAACCAACGTTCATGCCTCTTAGATTATTTCAAAAGAAGCTATACGAGCAGTTACAATTTTTGGTGGTGGTGAGTCCTGGAGGCAAACCTCAGTGTTCGACAACTAGGAGAATTGGTATAGGTAAAGCGTGGATTCATAATCAATGCTTGTAGTGTTGAGGCACAGAACAACAAAATACATGGTGCAACAACATTAAATGGTCAACAACAAATGGGACCTGTTTAAAAGGTTATGAAGAAGTAGGAGAGCATCTTATATGTACAGGAAATATCACTTGTATAAGTTAGAAGTGTACATATGAAACATAATAGTCTTAGCCAGGGCAATGATGGCATGTACCTGTATACCTGCATGCGTACTTGGAAGGGCTGAGCCAAAGGTGATCGCCTTGAGCACAGGAGTTCAAGTTGCGCAGGATCTATGACGCACCACTGCACTGGCTGCCTGAATGACAGGGTAGTTAAGACTCTGTCTCTTAAGGAAAATAAGGCCAGGGTGCAGGGTGCTCATAGCATGTGTAAATCTTAGTACTTGGGGGAAGCTGAAGCAAGAGATTATTTGAGGCCATGAGTTTGATTACCAGCCTGAGCAAGAGTGACACTCATCTTTCTATATATTTCTAGTTGGCCAATTAATTTCTATAAATAGAAAGAAATTAATTGGCCAACTAAAAATATATATAGAAAAAATTACCCACGCATGGTGGCACATGCCTGTAGTCCCAGTTACTTGGGAGGCTGAGGTAGAAGGATCACTTGAGCCTAGGAGTTGGAGGTTGCTGTGAGCTAGGCTGATACCACGGCACTCTAGTCTGGGCAACAGAGTGAGACTGTCTCAAAAAAAAAAAAATACAGGATTCAAGGGTGTGGGGTAGGGGAATGTGTGTCTGCCATTTGAAGAAACCTGTAGTCCTGCCATTTGAAGAAACCTGTAGTCCTGCCATTTGAAGAAACCTGTAGTCCAGGTTTCTTCAAATCCTTAGGGATCTCTACAGGAGCTGTCCAGACAGCTGGTGAGAAGGGAGCCCAGTCCTTATTTAATGCTGCTCGAGGAAAGAAGCGCCCAGCACCAACCCATGGCAGTGATGAGGAAGAGGAGGAGGAAGACTCTGAAGAAGATGGTGTGGTCAACCAGGGGGACCTCTGGGGCTCTGAGGACAGTGATGCTGATATGGTAGATGACTATGGAGCTGACTCTGATTCCCCGGATGAGGATGAAGAGGTGAGATTGACCTCTCTAGGTATTCAGAAAGGGATCTAGATTCTTGAGACTATATCCCTTGGTGACAAGGGTACACCTAACTAGAGGAAACGGATTTTTGTGCTCCATCTACTGCCTGACATTATCTCTTAACACACTTGCAAATTTGAAAGAGCTATAGGATAGAGCATTTTTTTTTTTTTTTTGAGACAGAGTCTCACTTTGTTGCCAGGCTAGAGTGAGTGCCGTGGCATCAGCGTAGCTCACAGCAACCTCAAACTCCTGGGCTCAAGTGATCCTCCTGCCTTAGTCTCCCGAGTAGCTGGGACTACAGGCATGCACCACCATGCCCGGCTAATTTTTTCTATGTATATTAGTTGGCCAATTAATTTCTTTTTTATTTATAGTAGAGACGAGGTCTTGCTCTTGCTCAGGCTGGTTTCGAACTCCTGACTTTGAGCACTCCGCCTGCCTCGGCCTCCCAGAGTGCTAGGATTATAGGCGTGAGCCACCACGCCCGGCCAAATAGAGCATTTTTTAAAGCTAGAATGCTCAGTGCTGGTGAGGATGTGGAAAGTGGATACTTGTTGCTTCACCGATGGAAGTAGACATGCATACTTTTTTTCCATAAAACAATTATTATCTGAAAACGTTAAAAAGTTTAGTTTTGATCTAGTAATTCTCTGTTTAGGAAGATGACCCAAAGTGTAGGCAAAGATTTATTTACTAAAGAGTAAGACGTTATTTATTACACAATTAGTATGAGGTTATATTGCCAGAAAAATTCAAATAATATAGAACTGTATAGAATAAAAAGAGTCCCCATTTGCACCCCTTTCCCACATCCCCACCCACCTACAGAGTTATTCCCAGGTTTGCAGGCACCATGTGAATCATTTTGCCAAAAACTCTGGAAACTTTGAAAGTGTCCAGTATGCTTCAGCAAATGTTTTCATGTATATGGTGAGTTAACATTGACTATTATGATTATGGAAATACTTATGATCTAACTGTGAATTTTAAAAAACAAGTAACAAAAGTTGAAGGTGGCTGGACCTGTAATGCCAGCTACTTAGAAAGCTAAAGTGGGAGGATCTCTTGAGCCCCAGGGTTCAAGGTTATAGTGAGCTGTGATTGTGCACTGCACTCCAGTCTGGACAACAGAGTGAGACCATATCTCTCTGAGAAAAATATAAGCAGTTGAAAATACACTGTAATTTGAACTATGTGAAAAATCCAGAGTAATATACAGAGTAGTAATTCCTTACTTAGTTTCAACAATGATCAACATTGTGCCAGTCTTATATTCATTTCTTCAGCTTCCTTTTTTCCTTCTGAGAGCAAGTGTTTTTTTGTATTTAGCAAAAAAATAAAATAACAGGGATAGAAGGTATTACATGGGGTGATAGAAGGTCAGGCTTGCATTATCAGCCCCGTGCGTCTCTCTCTCCAGTTGCTGCCCATTGAAAGAGCTGCTCGGAAGCAGAAGGCCCAGGAAGCTGCTGGGTGAGTTTGAGAAACCGTTAGGATGGAGAATAGGCAGCAGCTGGGATGGAGGAAGCTGAGGAAGGAGGAAGTGTCTGTTTTGGTCTGTTCCTGATTCCAAGGAATCATTCTGTTCCTTGACTATTTCTAGGGGCCAGTGGAGTGAGGAGGAGACAGAGGAAGAGGAAGAAGTGTCCCCTGAGTCAGGCTCCACAAAGGAGGAGGAGACAGATGGGGGCCTGCAGATCAATGTGGATGAGGAAGAGCCATCTGTGCTGCCCCCCGCTGGGGAGATGGAGCAAGATATCCTTCTAGCACAGAGTGAGGGGTAGGAGGAAGGTGCTTGGGAGAAGGATTTCCAGGCCCTAGGACACCTTGAAACAGTTCCTTAACAGGCCCACATGCCCAGGCTCCAGACCTGCAAAGAGTTCACAAGCGGATCCAGGATATAGTGGGAGTTCTGAATGATTTTGGGACTCAGCGGGAGGAAGGTCGGTCTCGTTCTGAATATCTGAATCGGCTTAAGAAGGATCTGGCGATTTATTACTCCTATGGAGACTTCCTGCTTAGCAAGCTCATGGACCTCTTCCCTCTATCTGAGGTACTGGGTTGCCAACCTAATGCCTCTTCTGCTTTTCTCACTTTCTTACCCTGTGTAAGGAAGACATTCAGCTCCCTTACTCTCTTCATTAGACTCAGCTCCTTAGCAGCCCAACTTATTCCCTGCTATCTTGCCCCCTGCAGCTGGTAGAGTTCTTGGAAGCTAATGAGGTGCCTCGGCCCATCACCCTCCGGACCAATACCTTGAAAACCCGCCGACGTGACCTTGCTCAGGTGAGAGGTAGCTTTTGAGGTTTGCTTATCTCAGGGAAGTAGCAACTTTTGCTAACTCTGAGGATTCCCCTGTCCCACCCTAACTGGGTGGGGTCTTAGAACTAAGCATTTCTTTTTTTTCCCCCGAGACAGTCTCACTCTGTTGCCCAGGCTAGAGTGCCTTAGCATCAGCCTAACTCACAGCAACCTCAAACTCCTGGGCTCAAGTGATCCTCCTGCCTCAGCCTCCTGGGTAGCTGGGACTGCAGGCGTGCACCATCACGCCTGGCTAATTTTTCTATATATTTCTAGTTGGCCAATTAATTTCTTTCTATTTTTAGTAGAGACGGGGTCTCGCTCTTGCTCAGACTGGTTTCGAATTCCTGACGAGCAATCCTCCTGCCTCAGCCTCTCAGAGTGCTAGGATTACAGGTGTGAGCCACCGCACCTGGCCAGAACTAAGCATTTCTTGGGATGAACATGATCCCAGGAGGCAAACCTAGAGAGGCCTAGGCAGGCTGAGGGCCTAGGACCTCTGTGAATGAGAAACTCATCCCTCCAGTCTCTGCTCCCTGTGCTTGGGGTGAGACATCTGCATCAAGATGAACATACTGCCTCCCAAGGAAATTGGAGGAAGATCATTGAGCAGTTGGGGAACTGTGATTCCTGACCCCAGAAAAAGAGACATACATAATCAGCATCTTAAACTTGTTTCCAAGGGTTCAGGGACCCCAGGCTCGCTGTTCTAAAGCCATGGTATGATTCTGTATATTGTATATCTCCTGGTGTGAAGAGAATCCAGTAGTTATCTTGAATGTGCTATAACCAATATCATTTAAGTTTTAGGATGGCGAGGGGGTTGAGCTTCTTGGAAAATCAGAGTCCATTTCCAGAAAATAAAATAACAGGAGGTGTCAGACTGCTCTATTGGGCTGGATTCAGACCTTGAGTTAGGAGGCTGAGGTTAAAAGAAAGAGAATCATGGGAGGGGATGGAATGGGAGGGAGAGAAACTTCTTAGTGCATCTGTTGTGACTATTCTGAGTAAGCTCTCTAGGAGTTGTGCCATGGACCTACCTGCTAGTGCTGGTATGACCATGCTTTTGTGTCTTCATCTGTTTTGGGGTAATTACGAAGTTGGTGTTTTGTTTTTTGAGATAGTGTCTCTTTTTTTTTTAGAGACTAAGTCTTGCTCTGTCATTCGGGCTGGAATGCAGTGGTGTCATCATAGCTCACTGTAACCTCAAATTCCTGGGCTCAGACAATCTTTCCAAGTAGCTAGGGCTACAGATGTATGCTACCACCTCTGGTTAATTTTTCTATTTTTTGTGGAGACAAGATCTCACTATGTTGCCAAGGCTAGTCTCAAACTCCTGGCCTCAGGTGATCCTTCTGCCTTGGCCTGCCTATAAGGTTTTTAAAATCTTTATCTGTTTTATCTTCAGGCACTAATCAATCGTGGGGTTAACCTGGATCCTCTGGGCAAGTGGTCAAAGACAGGACTAGTGGTATATGATTCTTCAGTGCCTATTGGTAAGCCTCCCCTGCCCAGTAGCCCTCTGCCCCTTTGTTCCATCATGTCACAGAGCAGTCCTCCTCCACAGGTGCTACCCCTGAGTACCTGGCTGGGCACTACATGCTGCAGGGAGCCTCCAGCATGTTGCCAGTCATGGCCTTGGCACCCCAGGAACATGAGCGGATCCTGGACATGTGTTGTGCCCCTGGAGGAAAGACCAGCTATATAGGTATGAGAAGGGCAGGCAGAGATGGGATTCATCTTGCACTGTGCTTTTGAAGGTAGATGGGGTTGGTGATTCACTAGTGCTCTTGGAACACAGTATACAGGCAGCTAGCAGGGCAATGAGAAGCACAGTTTCTGGAGTCGCCTGGGTTGAGTGCCAGGGGTGCCACTGCCCATGTGACCTTGAGCAAGCCTCTGATTCTCTTTTGCCATCTGTAAAATAGAATAGTAATTGTGCTTGTGTTGGCCATCATATTATGCTTGGGCTGTGAGAGTTGAAATAATACATTTAGAAGTCTGTAGCATAGTGTTCAGCACATAATAAGCAAGCATAACTATTTTATTAAGCTGTTAGCACTTAAAAGAAGTAACTTAGTCTGTAGGACTAGAAAGATGTTCAGTGAAAATGGAAAAACCACATCAGTAGGCTTGCTGATCATGAGGAGCCAGTGCATACTGGATCAACCTGTGCAGAAGGCAGGGGGGAGTGGGGCTTGTTGGGAGTGAAGTGTGCTTTGAGGTGATGAGACTTCACTTGTGGATTCCTGGGCTGGAGGGTGGGTAGCAAGTGTGGAGGCATAGGAGCCAGCTGGTCAGCACTGTGGCCCACCTTCCCTTTAGCCCAGCTGATGAAGAACACAGGGGTGATCCTTGCCAATGATGCCAATGCTGAGCGGCTCAAAAGTGTTGTGGGCAACCTGCATCGGCTAGGAGTCACCAACACCATCATCAGTCACTATGATGGGCGCCAGTTCCCCAAGGTGGGACTCCTCCTCTGGGTGTCTGTCTTTTCTGAGGCTTTTTCCAGTTTACCCTCTCCCTTCCTGGCATCAGAATGTCTAGACTTGCCCCTAGGAAATAAATAGTACGCTGCAGGTTGCAGAAAACATTTAATTAACCTATCCCTCTTCCCCAGGTGGTGGGGGGCTTTGACCGAGTGCTGCTGGATGCTCCCTGCAGCGGCACAGGGGTCATTTCCAAGGACCCAGCTGTGAAGACTAATAAGGTGAGGGGTCGAGGGGTGGGACCAGCTAAGAGGCCTTGGCTGGGTCTTGCGGAATTGGAAAGTGAAGTAGAGGAGTTCTCTGGGCAGTCAGTTGCTCACCTCTTCTCCCAACACCACTGGATCTCTCTTTGGGGACAGGATGAGAAGGATATCCTGCGCTGTGCTCACCTTCAGAAGGAGTTGCTCCTGAGTGCTATTGACTCTGTCAACGCCACCTCCAAGACAGGAGGCTACCTTGTCTACTGCACCTGTTCTATCATGGTGAGGCTTCCGCCATGGTAGGGCAGGGGACACAGGACTGAGAGGCTTATTGCTCCTGAGAGCTCCCTTTACCTCTAGCTCTGCTTTTTCCTCCCTTCTGTTTTGTCTTCCCACACATCTAGGTGGAAGAGAATGAATGGGTGGTAGACTATGCCCTGAAAAAGAGGAATGTGCGGCTGGTGCCTACAGGCCTAGACTTTGGTCAGGAAGGTTTTACCCGCTTTAGAGAAAGGCGCTTCCACCCCTCTCTTCGCTCTACCCGACGCTTCTACCCTCATACCCACAATATGGATGGTTTCTTTATTGCCAAGTTCAAGAAATTCTCCAATTCTTTTCCCCAGCCCCAAACAGGTGAGTGATCTGCTCTTTCCACTCTTCATTACCACCTTTGTTCTTTCTTATGGGGTGAGACTGCTTCCATTAGCCTAGCCTTTGCATGCTTGTATGAAAGATCCCTTTCATCCCAGCTAGAGTTGTTCTTCACCCCTGGACCACATTTGAGTGCAGTAAAGGGTTCATATGGGCCAGGTGTGGTGGATTGCATTTGTAATCCCAGCACATTGGGAGGCCAAGGTGGGAGGATCACTTAAGGCCAGTAGTTCAAGACCAGCCTGGGCAACATAATGAGACCTCATCTCTACAAAAAAGATTTAAAAAACAAAGTGCTTATAAGGCTGATGGCCTTTTCCTTTATCTACCAAGTAGCTGCAGCTGTTCAGCACTAAATGCATTCCAAATGTAGGTTGTGGTTTCTTTTTCTTTTTGGCCCAGGGTTGACATATTGATAATATACCTCTGCTGTTCCAGCATTCTCAGCACTGAGTTGGAACAGAGCTCTACAGACCTATTGGTGTTTGCCGAGCCTCTCACAATAATTGCAGATTACTTTCTCAGCCATCTTGAGGAGTCTGGCCTGGATCTCAGGGGAAGAGTGGGGTTTTCAGAAACAAGCTTGAGAGCTCTGTATTCTGGGTTTAATTGGAAAAAAGAAAAGAGTTGCTCAGAATACAAACTGTGATTTAAGTTATTTTTTTCCTTTTTAAATGAGGCCCGTAGAAAAGTCACATTTGAATGGTAATATAGAAAAAAAACTGTAAGAAATAGAAAAAGTTGCTGTAACTTAAAAAGAACATTTAATATGTCAGTCCCATTGATGTTTCACTAGGTTGTTCCTAGTTGGTGTGAATGTGCCTTCTAATTTTCTGCATTTCATCAACATCTGTGTGTGTGTGTGTGTGTGCTTCGCTGGTTTTACAGAAAAAGTAAGGGATGGAATAAAAAAAAAAAAAAAAAAAAAAAAGTCCAGTGCTTCACATTTGTTCAGGAGACCCTAGGATTCACATCTCGTGAGTATCTTGTTACCTGTTGTCCTCAAGCCTTTTGGCCCAAGGATAGGCAGTGATCTCTTAATACAAAGTTCAAATAAGATTGAGTAAAGGCCAGGTGATACTAGTAATAGGAATCTAGGTAATCTGCTCTTAGGCAGTGTCCTAATTTTGTGGAACTATTGGCCAAGAGATGGCAGTTCCCATATTTTAATAATCTCTACCTTATCTCTTCCACTAATGATTGGTGATGAGGCCCATTTTTCTCAAACCATCTGTTTAATTTTAACCCCAGGAAATTCTGCAACAGCCAGCCCTACAAATCTAGACTTACCTGACTTGAAGGGTCAGGTCACCCCCAAGTCTGAGAACAGTAGTCAGCCAGCCAAGAAGGCCAAAGGGTCTACAAAGGCAAAGCAGCAATTGCAGAAACAACAGCATCATCCCAAGAAGGCCTTCCAGAAGCTGAATGGCATCTCCAAAGAGGCAGATTCAGAATTGTCCGCTGTACCTGCTGTCACAAAGGCCCAAGCCTCCTCCAAGCTCCAGGGGAGCAGTCAGCCAGCTGAAAAAGTTGAAGTGACTGGGGAACCAAAGGTGACTGGGAAGCTAAAGCAACGATCACCTAAATTGCAGTCCTCCAAGAAAGTTGTCTTTGCGAAGCAGAATGCCCCTCCTAAGAGCATGGACACAGAAATGTCTGCTGTGCTATCTGTCTCCAAGACCCAGACCACCCCGAAGCCTAAGGATCGTCATCAGCCCCTTGGGAAAGCCAAAGGGCTGGAGAAGGCAAAGCAGCACTTGTCAGAGCAGCCTTTTCAGAAACAGAATGGCACCCCTAAAGGGCCTCAGATTCCCACTGTTTCTCTGCTGAGTTCCAGCCGGCCCCCACCAGCAAAAAGGAGGAAATCTCGGTCCAGGGACAACAGCCAGCCACTGCTGTCTTAGATGAATGGTTGAAAACTAGACTGAGGTGGCTCACTGCTATCGTCACTGGGTTGGAACGCTTACCTCTGTGAGGATGGCTTCCCCACTGTGCGTACCCGTGAAATGTAATACACGTTTTACAACCTCTGGCCACTGAGTGTTTTTTGAGGGAACTGGGTACTTTCTTTGCTGCTTCAAGGGTAGAGGTGGGAAGGTGGGACTGGCATCCTCTGAAGAGAGGGAACTACTGAGACATCAGGTCAGTTTCAGGCTCCTGGGATCCCTTGGCCTCCCCAGGAGAGGAAAGCCATGGAGTCAGAGCTAGGGTGTTTGGACTCTGGGGAGAGGAGGAGGATAGGGGTGGAGGGAAGACTGGCTTCCTGCCATCAGAACCCATGGGATGTTGGAGGTCCTGGCTTTTACATCACTTTGGCTGAATTCCAAGCAGTCGCACCCCAGAAAAGGGCTAGCAGCCGGCCTCAGACCCCGAAAGGTCCGGGACCAGCCTTTTGGAGCCTTTCATTGGCTTCCTCTCGGCCCGCCCCGCCTGTGACCTCTGCCCTTTTGCCGAGGCGTCTGATTGGCCGCCCATGGCCCGCGAGCGCCTCATTGGCTCTTCCGCTCGCCCTCCATCCCGGCTCCTGCACAGGTCTCCATCTCCCAGCAGAAGGCGCAGCCATGAATCCGTTATTCGGCCCCAATCTCTTCCTCCTACAGCAGGAGCAGCAGGGCCTGGCCGGCCCGCTGGGGGACCACCTGGGAGGCGACCACTTCACCGGGGGAGGGGACCTGCCCCCGGCGCCTCTCGCCCCGGCCGGCTCCGCTGCCTACTCGCCGCCCGGGCCCGGCTCGGCCCCGCCTGCCGCCATGGCCCTCCGCAACGACCTGGGCTCCAACATCAACGTGCTCAAGACCCTGAACCTCCGGTTCCGCTGTTTCCTGGCTAAGGTGCACGAGCTGGAGCGCCGGAACCGGCTGCTGGAGAAGCAGCTGCAGCAGGCGCTGGAGGAGGGTAAGCAGGGCCGGCGGGGCCTGGCTCGCCGCGACCAGGCCGTGCAGACCGGCTTCGTCAGCCCCATCCGGCCCCTGGGGCTGCCCCTGGGCGCCCGGCCGGCTGCCGTCTGCACCCCTTCAGCGCGGGTGCTGGGCTCGCCCGCGCGCTCGCCGGCCGGCCCCCTCGCGTCCTCCACGGCCTGCCACTCGTCGCCATCCACCTCCACCTCCACCTCCACTGCCTACTCCTCGTCGGCCCGCTTCATGCCCGGCACCATCTGGTCCTTCTCACACGCCCGGCGGCTCGGGCCGGGACTGGAGCCCACTCTGGTGCAAGGGCCTGGCTTGTCGTGGGTGCACCCCGACGGGGTCGGCGTGCAGATCGACACCATCACCCCGGAGATCCGCGCGCTCTACAACGTGCTGGCCAAAGTGAAGCGGGAGAGGGACGAATACAAACGGAGGTAGGGACCAGGAGGTGGGGACGGGGCTCCGTGTCATGACACTCACAACGGCCAGGGAAGTCGGTGTGGATTCCGAGGTATCGGGGGTGAATAGAGTAAGAGTAAGTTCCCGCTGTATAATGAGGAGCTTGGAAGGAATTGGATGCAGAGAATGCAGAAGTCCAACTCGTGACAGGAAGGAGGAGGAAAACACTGGGGGATTCATACTTCTGGCTGTCTCTCTGTCTCATAGACTAGGCTGCAGGGTTTGGATGACTGTGTTAACTGTGGGGTTTTGTGAGGCGTGAAAGGGGCTCTGGGGTACACTGTGTCCCTATTAGTCTCAGCCCTTGGGGCAATTTTGGGATAGAAGCTTCACACACTGACCAAAAGTAGGAGGCTAAGGGTATAGCTTAAATTTGGGAAACTGAGTGAAACTGGAAGGGGGTGGTGAGGGAGGAGGGGCTGCACCCTGCAGTGGGTGATCTTGCCACTGCCCAGGGTTTCCCAGAAGAATATTGATGGAAAGCAGGTTCTGTACAATCCATTGGAATCCTTGGATGGAAACCTGGTTCTATAAGATGAGACCTCAAGGTATTGGTTAGAGTATGTAAAAAAATGGGGAAAGAAAGAGTAAAGAGAATTCTGTAGCAGAAGGGCAAGGCAAAGGGGCAGGTTGTTGGTATAGGGCTGGTGGGGATTAGTAAAGAGCTGAAGGGGGAGGAATCGTGAACAGAGCCAGCAAAAGAACCAAGTAGGGAAAAGTTGGGAATACTGACACACCCTGGGCTGTAAGTGGCTTGGGGAGGGTCCAGTGCATTCTGCAGATGAAGTTTTGGCTTTCTGAGAGGAACCTGGACCCAAGGGGTGCAGGGAAGGGATGTAATGCCAGAGTGCTGGCTGTACCCCAAGTGGATTCCTAAGATGATTGGTAACCAGGTCGACAGGACAGGAGCATGAACAGAGGCAGTGCTTTGCACACTCTGTGACCCATGCCATGGTGGAGCTGGAAGGGGTGACAGAAGGAGGCTTTGGTTTGGGGACCTCCTGTCTCAGCCCAGCTATTATGACCCCTTGTGGCAGGCCAAGGAACTACCTTTGCAACCCAGCCTAGCAGGGATTGGTGTCTGGTTTAGTAGTGGGTGAGGATTGAATGAATGAATGTTCTAGATTACCTCTGGATCTGAGGGCAACCTTCAGGGGTTTATCACCAGCTGGAGTCTACCAGGTCACAGAGGGGCAGGCTTTCTGAGCTTGAGTCCTGTCCGCATGCTGGCTTCCTTAGTTACGGTCCATGTTATGTGTCCTTGGGGGTTTCAGTTGTCCTAAAATCATCATTCTGGTGCAACCCAGAACCAGCTTGCCCTGCCCTGCGGGAGTTAATGCAGTGAGCAGTGGAACAGGGACAATTCTGGAATACATCCACAACCACAGGAACAACTGCTGTTCTGAGGAGCATTTTCTCTTTTTTTAATGGAAGCAGTGTTTGTCCTTGGTCCAGCTGTCCAGGGCAGCAAAGAGTTATTCCGTGGGGATTGATTAGCTCATCGCTCTGCGGCACGTTGCTGTGCAGAGGGCCAGCAGCTAGACTGATGCGGTACGTGACACTGGCAGTTACTCTTCTTCCACCAATGAGATGCCCTCCTTCTGCGCTTTTTATAGCAACGCTGTAACTCCTGTCCTTAGTCGAAGGCATGCGGATGACTTGAGCACTAAACTGGAAAGTAGCTGAGGCCTCCTGGGTTCTATTTTCAGCTCCCCTGCCTTGTAGGACTTTCCCTCTGAGCCTCAGTTTTTCCAATATAGAAATGGTCCTGTTTTCTCTCTTCAACTCAAGTATACAGTTTATTTGGAAGGGGGAGGTATTTGGTCAATGCAGAATACATAAAAATGGCTCAAATTTTGCCCACTTTAAGGGAACCTTGTGAGACCAGATTGAAAAGGAGGCCAAAATGAACCTGTTTGTGTGAAAGTCTGGGTGGAGAGCAATAGAATTATAGTGAGCTTCCAGATGATATATTTTTCAGATTTTTTACCCTGTAAGATTTCATTAATCTTCATCTTTAGCTAACTTCCTTGCTTAAGTTTCCACCTGAGTTTGTTGAGTTCAGCGACCAAGAGTACTTCTGCCCTCCCTGATGCATCTTGTCCAGGGTTATTGTGCCCTTGTCAGTATTGCTCTCCCCTCCAAGGACTTTTGTGTTCTAGGGGCATGAGGGTACCACATCCTATGCCTTTGTGTTGTGGATGAAGAAACCAAGGCCTGGAAAAGATAATGGTCTTATCTAAGAAAATATATAATCTGATGCTACTAGGGCCCTCACTACCTCGGTCTGGCTGAGAATGCCCGAGTGGAAAGGAAAAGGACATATGTGGCTCGGCCGGGAAGAGTGGGGTCAGGGAGCCAGCAGGCTGGTGGCCGGACTGGCTGCCTCCTCCCACCCTGCGCACAGGGAGGGCGGCCAGGGTGATGTGGAGGAGTTATTATTAGGACTGCTGCAGTGCGGCTGTGGGCGGGAGCTCAGGAGCAAGGAGACAGGACTGGGGAAGGCGAGATAGGAAGGGAGACGAAGGCCTGGGGAGGACAGGACTTATCGATGTTGCAGAAGCTGATCTCTCACATTTTAATTTTCTTGCTTTCTTTGCCACTTCCTAACCACCTTTCTTATATTTAAGTTTCTGTGTTGGTACAGTCCCCCTCCTTTCTCAGACTGAAAGAAGCCTTTCTAGAATGTGGCAAGAGTGATGAGTTTGCATGAATAGGGCTGCTATGCCAGCTGACCTGTGGGCTCTGAGACACCAGGGCCACATCCTGAGCAATGGAGGTCCCCACCCCACTTCCTTCTCTGGAGTGGAATAGAATATACACTGCTCATTGTGTCAGATGGGGTGTGAAAAGCTGGTCCTGGGAAACATGTCCGAGGACCCTGCCCTGTGGCCAAGAGCGTCTTCTGTCCTGCTGTGGTCGTAGCCTCTGAATTCTGGATCCCGGGAGGTGCTGCTTCTGGTTCTCATCCGCCACACTAACGGGCCCCGTTGCATGCTCTACTTCCCTTTTCCCTCTGAGTTTGGGTGCTTAGTAACCCCAGGCTTTAGATGTCCACTGCTGTAATGCTGCTGGGGACTTCTGGTTGCAGGGCCAGCCCTGTTACCTCTCTGTGGCTCACCTAGAGGGGGATGGGTGGGCAGTTCCTGGAGCTTGTGGGGGAAGGACTTCAAGTGTCTCCTGCCAGGCTCTTGACCAACTCTGTTGATGCGGTATGTGTCCTGCAGATGCTTTTACAGGGTTAAATGGTACCACAAGAGGCAGGGCAGCAGGCTAGACGAGCTCTGTTCTGGTGCGGGCAGGAGACCGGATCTGTGCGACTGAAGGTGGGAGACTGGGCCGGGTTGACCTGGTGGTCTGGTGGGGGCAGGAGGTGGGCAAGGAGGCCAGCCAGACAGCTGGTTGAGCTGGGGCCTGAGCAGGGATGGGTACTGCAAAGGACCAGAACAGCCTCAGTTGCTCTTAAATAGAGTTCCTGGTGCATGGCCCGGAGGTTCTGGGAAGGCAGCTGGTGAGCTTGGCACTTGCCAGGAAGTGTGGAGCCGCCCGACAGCTGCAGCTGGCCACCGGCTGCCCGCCAGACATTCCTGTGCGCTGCTCCTCCCCATCTGGGGAACCAGACCTGGGGACTGAGCCTGAGCCAGAGAGGGGGCACAGGGGGCCGTGG